AAAAACCACTGGCAGAATGGCTGAAGTGGTTAAGTGTCTGCCTAGAAAGTGTGAGGCCTTGAGTTCAAGCCCGAGTACTGCCAAAAAAAAATAATAATGACTGGGAGAGTAGCTCAAGTGGTAAAGCACCTGCTTAGCATGCATGAGGCCCTGAGTTCAAACCCCAGTACTAACAAAAAAAAATCATGTATGGAGAAAAATAATAATGATTGCTCATAACAGGTGAGACACTGATGCTACTCTTGGAGTGCATACTTTTCTGTAGATTCCCATTAAGTCAAAGAGCACGTATAACTTTAGAATCAGAATACAACACAGGTACTGCTACATGTTGCTGGTTGTTCACTGTGCTGGTTCACCTTCACATCACTTTTAGTTCAACATGTATTGAGTGCCTGCTTCAGTATTCTAAGGGCTAGGGGTACAGCAGAAAACAGAGCAAGATATTTACAATCCAGCAAGGGAGACAGACAAATACAAACATCATGTATCAGATGGTGACCAATGCCTGAGAGAAACAAAGCAAGGAAAGGGGATGGGGAGCTTGTGTGTTGGGCAGAGAAGGCTGAGAAGACTATGTATCATCAATGACCTATGATATGTGACAAAGTGAGCCCACTGGTATTGGGGGAAGAAGATCCCCACAGAGGCAACAACAATTGCAGAGGCCAGGAGGTGAGAATACACCTGCAGGATAGCAGGAAAACCACCATGACTAGAAAAGAGATACTGAGAGGAAGAAGTGAAATGGGGCCAGGAAGTGACCTAATTGCTATGCCAAAAAAAGATGAAGACAACTATGGTAGCCTATTTAATGACAACATATTTGGTGCCTCTCCCCAGGGGAGGATTATATCTTCCCACCCTAGTAATTTCAGGGTTGGCCATGAACTTGCTTTCACAATGGAAGGTGAGTGGAAGTGTGGCGTGATACTTCTGCAAAGCTTTTGGATCTTCGAATCCACCTGTCCTTTCCGTCTGCCCTAAGGCCAGCCCAGGCCCTGGAGAGAAGGTCACATGCAGAAGACTGGCAGCCAAGCCACAATACACCTACAGCCTTGATGATAGAAGTTTCTAAGACTTTTACTGTCATTTGTTACCACAGCTTAATATGAAAAACCATTAGAACTACTGCCCTTTTAGAGGTTAAAATTACTTTCATAACCTCCATACATACACCTATAACCTATGTATGGATAGGTCCATACATACACCTATCAGAAGAACTAAAATTAAAACAAGTTTGACATATCAAGTGCTGGTGAGGAAGAAGAGCAACAGGAACTCACTTGTTGCTGATAGGAAAGCAAAGAGGTTGTAGGAGCTCTGGAAAAAGCTTTACAGTTTCTTACAAAGTTATTGCCCCATAAGGCTCCATGCTACAGACTGACCATATGACCCAGCAATCATACTCTTAGGTATTTGCCAAAGAGAAATGAAAACTTTACTAGAAAGCTGTGCTCCTGGAAAAATCTCCCATCTCTGTGTTCAGAGAAGTAGCTAATCATGCAAAGGACTACCCTACTCTTGTATATTCCAAGGTAAGACGCAGCAGGTAGAGTAGGGCTCTGTTCTCCCTCTTTATTCCATTCTTCCTCGTCTTCCATAAGCCTCACAGGTACTCCTGTGTTTATCTGCTACTATAAAGCTCCAGGCCCCCTTCCTTTCCTTTGAGATTTTTCACCTTAATGAACCCACCGAAGGCTATAGATTAATGGAAAGTAGAAATACAATTGCCACAGTCCCCATGCTGGCTGGAAGGGCCTGTTTGGAGCCTCTACGCATTCATTCTTAGACTCTGAATATGATTTAATTTTCTAGACTAGCTCTGGAATTGAGGGCTGTGTGTTTCCCATGTCTACTCTCAAAGAAGTAGACAGAAGCCAACAGAAGTTTTCCTTTGTATTTTCTTTTTTATTAACTTGCTAGGCAAGAGAACACACCAAATACTTCAGAGTAGGGGAAGTTAGAGTTCTGTAAGAACTAGAAAGAGAAGTGTGTTACCCACAGCTGATACAACAAATTACTACAGATATCATGGCTTAAAATCACATTTACTCTTTAACAATTTAAGTGGCCTGAAGTTGAAAATCTTTCACTTTCACTAGGCTAATAGTCAAGGTGTCAACAGAGCTGGTTCCTTCTAAAGGCTCCAGGGAAAATCCATTTCCTTGCTTTTCTGGCTTCTATAGGTCACCCACATTCCCTGCTTCATGTCCCCCTCCATCTTTAAAGCCAGGAATAGTGAGTTGAGTATTCATGCTTTGAATTTTTCTACTGTCTTCTACTTCTGACTCCAAAGTTCTCTGATTTTAAAAAGGGTTGTGTAATTAAGTGGTGCCTATCCTGATAAACAAGGACAATCTCCTCTTTGTCCTGTGCCCCATTTAGGTCTTCACACTACCAATTGCCCAGGCTACTCTGGAGTCCATCTATAACCTATCAATCCACATCTCAAGTCTCCTCTTTGGTCAGAAGTATCCATCATCTGTAATGTAACTATTTTCATAACAGCAGTTATTCCTGCTCATTTGAGAAAACTTATTTTAAAAACAATCAGCAAGGGGAAATAATTCACACAAAACCATGTAGATTCACTCCAATTTTGTAGCTAACATCTCTTCCTCAGGGTGCTTTCCTCTGGCCACAGCTGGTTTGATGATGGTTCCCTCTCCCAGAATCTGAAATGTGAACCAAAAAGCAGGGACACTACTGACATGAACACTACAAAACAAGTGCATATTTCACTTGAGAGTAGCAGATGCCAAAGTAGAGTGCCTGGCCAACCCTGGAAATCCTGAAGAGTCCACTAAGGAGGTATGCATGTCTTATGATACATATTGTATTGCAGAGACATAAATCTGAAAGTTATAAATGACTGCATATGCTGGCAACATGAGACAATTCTTTTTAATAATGAGGTTCATTCTTTTAAAGGATGAACAAGAAATGTATATACCACAGCCTTGACCCTGTTCATATTGTGGGATAAGCAACTCTACTCTGAGAGCCATCCGGTGCCTTTGTAGGATGTTTAGCAGCATCACTCACCCGTGAGGCACCAGTAGCTTGCCCACCACCCTGTGATGGTGATGCAGATGTCTCCATGTGTCTCTGTCCTGGGTGCCAAGATCACTCCCAGATGAGAACTACTGCTTCCAGAAGAATGGATGAATACATACAGAACTGAAAATAAACTAACGATATGCAGCAACATGGATGAAACTACTAGACATGTCAAGCAGCATTACATGCTGCAGGATTCCATTCACACAAAATAGGAAAATAGTTAAAACTTCTACTCTGGGGTTAAAAGTCAGACTGATGGTAACCACTGGGGTGCAGGAGCTGTTCTACCTCTTTCTTGAGTACTGGGGACACCACTAGTACATGTGCCATCTGATTCCAGGAATCAGATACAGCTGCCTTCTTCCAACTCTTCTTTCCCTCCTCTTTCTTTCTCTGGTTTCATACCTAGAGAGCAGTCAAGCATCAAAGGCATTTGTGTAGTGCCCTTGCAGAGGAATGGGCTTGGTTGGGTGAGAAAACTTATTAGACATTTCTGTCTTGCTGCAGTTACCAGTGCCTGGGTGGAATCCACATGCCAAGCACTGAAAGACATGGTGTGGCATAACAAGTTCCCAAGGATGCTCCGTTTTGAGATGGCATCTTAAGACTCAGGATTTCTTACCCACCCTTAGAACCTGATGAAAAGACCACCTTCACAGAAAGAGAAGGACATCTATAAATATCAACCAACCTTTCTTCCCAAAAAAGTTTGCCCACACTTTCAAGGACTACAGGACAAGCCATCCTCATTCCTTCTCTTTGGGGTTTGGCTGTTTCTTCCTGTAAGGAAAGGGCACCCATACAGAAAAGCCTGAGATGCCTGACTTGATTCCTAATCTATGCAACTCACAGCCTCGATTAGCTCAGAATGGCTTTCACTCTTGACTCCCCCTCCCTAAGAACCAGGAAATAGATGATAGGGTCAAGTCAGAATCCCCAGGAGATCCATCTGCAGGACTTTGAGGCAGCCAACTACTTTGTTCGGTTTTCCCTCAAGACAAAACTTCAGTTCCTCAAGGAGCTGTGCTGGGATCATTCCAGATTTCTCTATGGCCTCCTATTTGCCATTGCTCTCCCTCCACAATGACAATCCCCTCATAATCCAAGTCGCAAAAAAGTAAATGATTCTGTTTGTGGAATGCTCTGATACTAGAAAAGCTTTTGCTGGGGTGTACTCCTTGATGTTTACAATACCCAGTATTCCTGATCTAGTCCCTCTGGCAAAACAAAACAAAACAACTCCAGAGAAACACCCAAATTCATCTCCTTTTGGATTCACTTTTCTACTCATAATCAAATTATTATAGCAACAATGCAGGCTTTGTGGCAGAGGTAGAAAACACATAATTGTAGTCCCCTAAGAAAACCTTATTTATTTCTCCTAATTTACTGTTCACTTATATCCATGTGTGTACATACCTTTACATGCCTGTAATGACAGCATACCTCCTACTTTGTGCCTTCTGCCATCTTACAAGTAATTCAATATGGCAGCAAAACCTTCATAATTATAGTGCAGAGTGGCTGAATTTGGAAATCAGAAGTGTTCTAAATGAACAACAGTGATGGGGGTAGGTAAGTGATAACAGAAACATAACTCAGTATTTTCCTCCTTCAACAACTAAAGCAATGGGTCATATTTATTAGAAGTAGCCCTTTCCATCTTGGAGCTTGTCTTAGTCTTAAGAGGGACAACTTCACTGTTCATTCATAAGCAAGTTCTTCATCCAGTTTCCCTCTTCAGTCCTCAGTGTTCTGTCAGAACTACAACACAGAAATGCATTCAAACAGTAAACTTTTATCATCCTGTGGTTGCTATGGAGTAGAGCAGTGTGGGACCTCTTACGGTATGTCTTTGCTGACACAGGAAAGACAGTAAGACCTCCTGTGAAAAGCTTCTCTTCCTGATTATACTTATAAGGTTTGATTTTAATAGCTTTTCTTATGTACAGTAAGGTGGATACTCACTATTACAGGATTCCCGTGTGATTACTTACTGCATTTGCAGATCCTTTTCATTTTAATCATCCTGATGCACACTGGGTGGGTAAATTCAGGGGAAGTATCTTTCTCACATTCTCATGTTTTATTACTGTGTATGCACAATTCTGTTTGGTATAGGCTTAATCATCCCTGAAGCCACATTTATGATCATCCAACATAATCTCCAAGAGTTAATAACAGAATTAAAAGAGCTTTGGAATGTCTTATATTCATCAATTCTCTCAAAGAATTCTGTTTTATTGACAAGAAAAGTCACATCTGAAGACACATACCTTTCGTGCATGTTTTTGAGAGTAAGTCGGGAGAAGAGTGGCCCACGTTCATTTTGCTTCCACAGTTTGTTCTTCAGGGTGTGTTCTCTGGTGCCGGAGAAGGGACGAGCTCCTTCTGAATGTTTTCCCACATTGAGGGCACTGGCTAGGATCCTCTCTGTTATGGAGTCTCTCATGTACTGCCAGATGAGAGTTCTGCTTAAAGGACTTTCCACATTCCAGACACTGGTATGGTGTCTCCTTAGTGTGAATTCTCTGGTGCTTTGTCAGGCAGGAGCTGTCCCTGAAAGCTCTGCCACACTGATTACACTCATAGGGCTTTTCACCAGTATGAGTCCTCTGGTGCCGGATGAGGCCAGCAATGTTCCTAAAAAGTTTATGACACTGGTTACAGCTGTAAGGCTTCTCGCCAGTATGAATTCTCTGATGTCTGATGAGGTATGCACTCTCAATGAAAGTTTTCCACACTCTTTACATTCATAAGGTTTCTCCCCAGAATGGATCTTTTGATGCACAATGAGGTGAGAGTTGCGACTGAATGATTTCCCACACTCCACACATTCAAAGGGCTTCTCTCCAGTGTGAGTCCTCTCATGCTGGGTGAGGTATGAACCATCTCGGAAAGCCTTTCCACATTTGCTACACTCATAGGGCTTCTCACCGGTGTGGATTCTGAGATGTACAGTGAGGTGGGAGATATCAGTGAAGGGTTTCCCACACTCATTACATCTATATGGTTTCTCCCCAGTATGAGTTCTTTGATGCAAAATCAGGGATGAATTTCGGTTGAAGGTTTTTCCACATTCTAGACATTCATAAGGTTTCTCCCCTGTGTGGATCCTCTGGTGCTGTGTCAAAGCTGACCCATCACTGAAAGCTTTCCCACATTTATTGCATTTATAAGGCTTCTCTCCTGTATGGATCCTTTGATGAACAATCAAGTTGTAGTTCTTAGAGAAGGATTTTCCACACTCGTTACAGGTATAAGGTTTCTCTCCAGTGTGAGTTCGGTGATGCAAAACAAGAGAAGAGTTCCGTTTGAAGCATTTGCCACACTCAGTACACTTATATGGTTTCTCAATGGGGTGACTTCTACTTTCATTAAGAGATGAACTCAGAACAAAGATGTCCTCAAAGTTATTACCTTGGTAAAGTTTTTTGCCTCTTTTCATTATTTTTTTATCACCAAGGGAGGTAAAATGGTTCACAGATTTACCACTTCCAGTATGCTTATAGTGTTTACCTCTAATTTGGATTCTTCCAAGTTGCATAGATTCTACGGAAGGGTGGAAGGCTTTTCCACAGGCATCACTTTCACCAGTTTTCTTAGGGGAATAATTTTGAGGACACTTGTATAAGGCTCGGTTACACTCCAAAATTTTAATATCTGAGTTGTGAACATGGAAACCATTTTTGGTAGGAACACTCTGAGATGGTGGAAGGCCTGAGCTTGTATTCAAATGCTCCCCAAAACCAAGATATTCACAGATTGCTTCCTGAGTGCCTGATTTCTCCTGAGTGAAAGAAGATAGCCTCAAATGTCTCTCATGGTTCTCACGGTCCCAGTTCTCACAGTAAATCCTTCCGTGTCTCTCCTGGTTCTCATAGTCTTGGTTCTCACAGTCCCAGCTCTCACCCAGAATGGAGAAAGAGGGACCCTCCCGTGTAAATCCTTCCATTTCTATGGCACAGAATGGGTCTTCCTTAGGAACATTCTGAGCTGTCATTTGCAGTCTTGTGTCTCACACTATGAAGAAATTTTAAAAAGGCATATTAAGTACACAAAGCTACATCTGTAAAAAAATAAATAAATAAACGATGGGCTAGCTTTGCAGGTGTGCATTTTATTTTTCTTTTTAAAATTCACATGTGTGAAAGGGGGAGGTAAAGTGAGAGCCAAGAACAGGTTTTTTAAAAAGTTACATGGCATTTTCATCCTTTAAACAGAGGAATGGTACTGGGGGAAAATATACCCAAAAAGTTAGCTTGGGACAGGAAAGATCAGAGGCCAGGTATATCACTGCCCACACTGAAACACCATCCTGGCCACTGCATTCTCGTCTCCATTACCAGTGCACCCACGAAGGATCAGTAAATATTCAAATGCCCCAAATTCACAGGGTGCTTAGAACAGTACAGAATGAGCAGATCTCACATGCACTGTGTGACCAGAATTCTTTCCTCATTGGTAAGAAGATAGCAAAGGCTCTGTGACCTGAAAGATCTGGTCTATGTCTAGATCTGTTAGAGACAGTCCTGTGCATTGTCACAAAAAAAAAAAAATGGACCATGCCTGAGGCAGGGTCTAAAGATAGAGAAAGGACAGCATTCTGTAACTGTCTCTTAATGTCTTCATTATCAGCCTTTCTCTACCTACCCTCTCCCACTGTTCCACTCCTTACTATTAAGACAACTGGCTCTCTATATATTTTAAGGTAAAATTGGACCCTGAATCCAAACCCAAGTGCAAAAAAAAAAAAAAAGGGGTGGCAGTGATATATAGACAGGTTCAGAAAAGCAAGAGTTTAATTCCAAGGACAGGAGCCAAAATGAACAAAAAGTTGTTCTTCAAGAAAAACCCCACAAATTCCAAGATGGAGGCTAGAGAGAGGAAACAGAAAGCATGCCTCCTTAAGTGAAATCTTGGAGAGACGCTGGAGACACATCTTGCAGGCAAGACCACCGAGAAGAGGCAAAACTTTCACCCCTCCACACCTCTAGCCTGCGCAGAGAATCTCCAGGTCATGTTAAACGCAGAAACCAGGAGGGCCCCTGGGCCGCCAGATGCCTGCGCCCAGACGGCTTGGGAAGACGCCGACAAGGTGAGCTAAGCGGTACGTGGTACTTCCACAGACAACCCTGGGCCAGATCAGCATAGCCCCCTGGATGGACAAACCCCCACCCAGGGAAAAAAGAGAAACTGAGTAATAAGCAATAAGAATAATAAAGACACGTAGCAAATAGGGTGGGGCGCCCTAAGCACCGAAGAGGAGGGGAGGGGAATCTCTCCCAGAACTGTAAATAAACAAGCCAGGCCTGACCGGAGAGGGCAGGAGCGGGGGCACGCGCCCAGCAACCAGGAGTGGGAAAGCTTGTAAGAGTGGCGGAGGGAGGAAAACTCCACAGGAAAGAAGGGAAGACCCACCTCTCATGTGAGCTGTAAACAAACACGCTGGCCGGCAGGATCAGCAGCACACGCCCAGCAATCAGGAGCGGGAAAGCTTGTAAACGCGGTGGTGCCAGGAAAACTCCACAGGAGAGGGGGGAAGACCCACTTCCCACGTGAACTGTAAATAAACACACAGGCCTGAGAAAGCGGGTGCAGGGTCACCTCCCCCAGTGTGCTTGCAAAGGGGAAAGCTTGTAGTAGCAGCTCTAGCACAGGAGAACTCTGAGTAAACAAAGCCTGCTGGGTGAGTACTAAGCTCACCACACAAATCTGCATAAATAAAGTCTCCAGCAACAGCAGGCTGACAGCAGTGGGCAGGCAAGAGACAGCCGCAGATACCATTCTCAGAACTGTCTCCAGACTCCTCCAGGATTGGAGGCTGAGGAACTAACACCAAAATTATTAAGACTGAAACTTCATTGCATTTGAACTTGGAGGTTTTTTTCCTATTCTTTATTTTGTTTTACTTTATATATATTGTTTCTTTCATTTACTTATGTTTTATTTTTATTCTTATCTTCATTCTTTTTATTTTTTATTTTCAATCCTCTCTCTGTCTCTCTAATGCCTTCTCAGCTTATGGTTGATTAGTACACAGTCTCTCCCTGTTTATATCTTTGAAACTTTGTTTCTTTGTTTTGTTTTTTTTTTTACTTGATTATTTGTTTTTCCCTTTTCCTTTAACTTCTTTGCTTTCCATCCATTCTCACCCTTCCATTCTAAATATCACTAGTGCCATTATTATAAGTCAGAAAATACTTAATTGCACACACTACAGGGACAATAACAACACCAAGGGCAATGACGGGAAGAAAGAAAAAAACAGGGAAACTAGTTTCCCCACAGCAAAAAATCAGTACAGGAACCAGAGGGGAATGAAGAAAACAGGTACTCAGATCCAGATTCTAACAAAATGAAGATAAACTATGCCAAAGAACACAATGAAGCCCACAAGAATAATTTAAAAGAAGACATACTACAAGTACTCAATGAGAATTTTATAGAGATGATACTGGATATGGTCAACCAAAATGTAAAGGAGACACTCAAGAAATTCCAAGACAACAAAAATAGAGAATTTCAAAAAGCAAAAGAAGAAATAAAGGAAACCAAAGAAGCACTGTATAAACACCAAAGTGAAACAGAGAACATGAATAAAAAAGAGATAAATGAACTTAGGACAAAAATAGATAACATTAAACAGGAAATTACCCAGGATATGGAAAACTTCAGAAAATAGAATGAAACAGAATTGCAAAACAAAACGGAAGGCAAAGCCAGCAGAATACAACAAACAGAAGACAGAATCTCAGAACTCAAAAATGAAATGGTAATTAAAGGAAAAACCAAAGAACTATTAATAAACAAATCAAGACCTGTGAAAGGAAAATGCAAGAACTCACCAACTCCATCAAAAGACCAAACTTGAGAATCATGGGCATCAAAGAACGAGAAGAGGTGCAAGCAAAGGGAATGCGTAATATATTCAACAAAATAATAACAAAATTTCCCAAATCTAGAGAAAGATATTCCCATAAAGATGCAACAGACCTCCAGGACACCAAACAGACCAGATCAAAAGAGAACTACCATATGACATATCATCATTAAAACAACAAATTCAGAAACTAGGGAAAGAATATTGAAGGCTGTATGAGAGAAAAAACAAGTAACATACAAAGGTAAACCCATCAAAATCACAGCAACTTCTCAAACAGAAACATTAAAAGCAAGAAGAGCCTGGGTGAGATCTTCCAGGCACTGAATGAAAATAACTTCAACCCAGGATTACTCACCCAGCAAAACTATCATTCAAAATAGATGGAGCAATGAAAGTCATCCATGACAAGCAGAAACTAAAACAATATATGATCACAAAGCCACCACTACAAAAGATTCTTCAAGGGATTCTGCACACAGAAAGTGAAACCCAACATAATCATGAAAGGACAGGCACCCCAAACTACAGAAAAAAAAAGCAAAAAAGTAGAGTAACCTCAACTTAGGTACACACAATCAAACCTATAAACCACTAAGACAACTATATGACAGGAATCACCACATACCTATCAGTACTAACACTTAATGTTAACGGACTTAATTTGCCCATCAAAAGGCACCACTTGATGAAATGGATTAAAAAGGAAGATCCAACAATTTGTTGCTTACAAGAGACCCATCTCACCGACAAAAATAAGCATAGGCTTAGGACACAAGGCTGGAAGAAGATTTACCAAGCCAATGGACCCCGAAAACAGGCAGGATTAGCAGGACAGAAGGACATTCCATACTAATAAAAGGGGAAATAAACCAAAAGGAAATAATAATTATCAACCTATATGCACCCAATGTCAACGCACCCAATTTCATCAAACATACCCTGAAAGCCTAAAAACATATATACTCCAACACAGTGGTTGTGGGCTTAAAACTCATTATCATAAAATAGGTCATCCAAACAAAAAATCAATAAAGAATCCAAGATTAAAATATACAGTAGATCAAATGGACCTACGTGATGTCTACAGAACATTTCATCCAACTTCTACACAATATACTTTCTACTCAGCAGCCCATGGACCCTTCTCCAAAACAGATCATATCCAAGGGCACAAAGCAAGCCTCAGCAAATATAAGAAAACAGAAATTATACCGTGCATACTATCTGATCACAATACAGTAAAACTAGAACTCAACAACAAATAAAGACAAAAACATGGAATAGCTGGAACTGAAATAACTCGCTACTTAATGAACAGATGGGTCATGGATGAAATAAAAGAGGAAATTAAAAAGCTCCTGAAGTCAATGAAAATGAAACACAACCAACGGAATCTATGGGACACAGCAAAGGCAGGTCCTGAAGGAAAGTTATAGCCATGAGTGCATATATTAAAAAGACTGAAAATCCCAAATCAATGACCTAATGATACATCTCAAACTCCTAGAAAACAAGAACAAGCAAATCCCAAAACAAATAGGAGAGAAATATAAAAATAAGAGCTGAAATCAACGAAATAGAAACCAAAACACCATACAAATTAATAAAACAAAAAGTTGGTTCTCTGAAAAAATAAACAAGATCAACAACCCTGGCAACCTGACTAAAATGAGGAGAGAAAAAACCAAATTAGTAGAACAGAAATTCAAAAGGGAGATAACAACAACACATGAGTCCAGGAAATCATCAGAGACTACTTGAGAATCTAATATTACAAATAAAATTTTGAAAATCTTAAAGAAATGGACATATGATCATCCAAACTGAAACCAGGAAGGAATTAATCACCTTGAATAATCTATAACAACAAAATGACATTGAAGCAGCAATCAAGAAGTCTCCCCAAAATAGAAAAGTCCAGGACCTGATGGATTCTCTGCTGAATTCAAGATCAGACCTTTAAAGAAGAACATACCAACCCCCTTAAAAACTGTTCCACGAAATAAAAAGGGTAAGGAGAACTGCCTACACATTATAAGCCAGTATTACACTTATCCCCCAAACAGGCAAACCACCTCCAAAAAGGAGAAACTATAGGCCATCTCCCTTAATGAACCATTGAGCAAAAAATACTCAA